CTGCGGAGACTGGAAACGACAAGTGGCTCGAATTTGAGAACCACTGCAATAAGCAGCGCGTTCCATTCATCGTCTACGTTGACTTGAAGTGCGTTCTACGGGAGATGGAACTTGACAAGGAAGATGCGTCGTCGGAAACTAGCCGAGAATCCGGTCTTCCATGCTAGGACAAAGCATATCGACATACGACACCATTTTGTTCGTGAAGCTATAAATAACGGATCCTTTCAGCTGCGTCACGTCTCAACGGAAGAAATGGCTGCAGACGTCCTAACGAAAGGATTATCGAGACCTAAGCACGATAAGTGCCGGAGTTTGATTGGTCTCGGAGAAGCATGAGTAATAGTTCTCTTTTAGTTCGATCGCGTATCGAGGGGAAGTATTGAGAAATCGTTTTAACGATACGCTATCGCTGACCACAGATGGCGTTTCTACCACCGGGATGTTCATCTTTTGTATGCATAATAAAAACAATAACAGTTCGAGTCTTCCCTGCGTCGCGATCCCTTCTCAACATTTATAAATTTAAAGAAATTAAAAAAGTGATAATATGTACGCTGATAATCTACCAAATATTAACGATGAGGTATCAGACAACAATGATGAAGAATCAATGCCTTCAATTTGTAATAAAAAGTTCGCCTAAAAAGAAATAATGGACAAGCACGAGATAAAAATAGTTACGTGGAATGCCAACGGCATCGAACAAAAATTAACAATAAGTTGCAGGTATTCCTGGAAATCCATAAAATATAGGACTTATAAATGAGACTCATCTTACTGAACAGTCTTATATCAAAATCAGGGGATACAAAGTATATCACACTGTCCATCCGCAAAACACAGCTAGGGATGGAAGTGCTGTGATTATTAAGGAAAGTTTGTCCATCATGAAGAAGCGCAATATCAAACGGACATGGTGCAAGCTACAACTGTCAGCATTAAAATTAGAAACTTTAGCCTTGCAGTAAGCGCAGCTTACTCATTTCCTAGGCACAACTTAAAAAAGGAACACTACCTGGACTTCTTGAAAAGCCTGGAAGAAAAATTTATAGCGAAAGATCTTAACCCACTGATGAGCAAGGCTAGTGACAACCAAGAGAAGAGAGTTGTTGTCGGCTATGCAAGAACATGAATATAACTATTATTCAACTGGCAAGCCCTATTGGCCTACAGATCTACAAAAAATATTAGACCTGCTGGATTTCTTCATCATAAGAAAGATTTCAACTAAATTAAAATTAAAGAAAGTTTTGTCTAAACTGTGATCACTGCCCAGTTATATTAACAATAAGCGATAAAATAATCATAAAAAGTCATATCCTACTCTAATTTTCCTAAGATGAAACTACCAATTGGGAGTGCTGAACTTTTAAGTAAGATACAGTTGAAAGTGCCACTGAAAAGCAAAGACCAGCTTCACTATGAAGTTGATAATGGATATCCAGCAAGTATGGAACAATACAAACTTTATATCAAGGAAGTTGTTAGATATTAACTACAATAACAATTAAAAAATTGATCGACGAAAAGAAAAGAGGCAGGAAGAAATAGCAACAAACCAGAATTCTGGCAGATAAATAAAACGTGCCTATTATTTTCGTCTGCTCTACAAATGTACTAAGTTTTATTAAATTCGGCGAGTCGCGGAAAGGTAGGTTTACTTGTGAGAAAATTCATTAAATGAATTTAATATTTAAATATTAATGCAAAAATTTCTGAAGAATAAAGTTGTTTAAAAAATAATTTTACATAAAACAGAATTCATTTTTTCTATTTATACAAATTTCCAAGCGTTAATAAAAATCGGTTCATATTATTAGATAGGTTTGTATTATTTTGTGTTTTCTTACATTCTTACATTTTTTGTAGAAACTTTTTAAGTAATGGATTTTTTTATATTCTGCAATTCTTTTGTAAAAATCGTTCTCCACAATCATTTATTACAAATGACTTGAGTTGATTAATATCCATCAAGTCATCTGTAATAGATGATTGTAAATAATGATTTTTATAAGAAAATTATAGAAAAGATAATTCAATTAAAAAGAAAAAGATAATGTAAAAGTATCTATGTAAAAGAAGGCGTAGAGTTTTGAATTGACAAAGAAAGATTTTAAAATAATTTGTATGCAAAAAGATTACAGGCTTTTTTATGTAAACTATAATCTAATATGAGTTGATAAGAGTTTTATTCCTTGTCGAAATTTTCTTGAAAGGAGATGGTTCTAATCTAATCCGCGAGGAAGGAATATATTAGGTGTTGGAATTAATTCGTAGCGTTTTACAAGTGATGGGAAGTACTTTCATTAATGTATTTTTTAATGCTCATGTGAAATAAATAACATTCTTTCATTAAAAACGCTACGAATTAATTCCAACACCTAATAATTTTTAATGCAAAAAAAATTTTTTCGTATTGCATGAAAATATTGCACATTAGTGGTGAAGATATAGTAACGTAGCGGCGCGGCGTGAAGCGCTCACTACCACGTGCGCCCGTTTAAAGGATAGCACCGATTACTAACTCGATTATAATAACTGCTTCATTAATATTGTAGAAAAATGGCTCAATTTTTTATTTAAAAAAAAAACGCTTTTAATCTTTTTGCTTACTGGACGCTGTTTAAGATATACCCTATAAATCTATCATATATATACTTACAAAACCTCCAGGTTTCTCTGTTCCTTGCTCCAGTTCTTTGATCTTGTTTTCCGCATGCTGAAGTTTCGCTTCGGCTTCTTGTCTACTAGCTATAGCTTCCTCTAACTTTTGCATCACTTCTACTAATCGACGTTCTTCCTCGGCCCGTGACTTTTCGACTAGGATATCGATCAACGGTTGTACATCAATCTGGAAGCGTTTTGTCGCGCTGAAATCCGGGTCACAGCCTGAACGATGCAACACAATTTGCGATATACATTCCTCTATTAATTTATAATATGCCGGTCTAAAAAATGAGAAAACAAAAAATAAGAAAATAAAGAGTTAGTTAATAAGAATAATAAACAAATATACATGTAATTACTTAAATCGCAATAATAAAAGTAAATGCGACTGTACGAGTGTATATACTTACCGAACCAGAGCATCATCTCGAATAAATAAAAGATGTTGAAGTATTGATAGAAAGTATGGCTCGGCGGAGGTATCCATTACCATATTTTTAACTACTTCAAAGCAATCGTTAACATCGTCTAATTCTAAACGTACGTTGTCGAATCTCTGTACAAATTCCTCGTAATCCTCCTCTTTATGATCATTAAAAATCTTTAAATGCGTAGCCAAGTCTTCCGACTCATCTTTCTCTAACATTTCAAGAATATCGGCTAAACCTACTCGCATTACTTCGTTCCTAAGATGTAAGCGAAAATCTAGATCCTCCGCGGATGATATTATCGAGTTTATGAGTTGAAGACATACTACCTGTAATATGAAAATAAAAATAAATTTTATATCAAATTATTTACTTTTTTATATAAAAAAATCGTTTCTATAAAAAATCACATAATAACTCGTCAAAGATTTTTAAAATGTATTACAATAAGTAATACAAGAATTCGTCATTAAATAAACTTGATTAGTTTGCTTATTTTTATATATAAATTAATAATTTATGATTTATAATAATTTATACAAATAATATATTAATATATTATATTAATTTAACAATGCAACGAAATTATTGTATTTTAATTGTACATATAAAAAAAAATTAATATTTCTAGAGTAAAATAGCGTTACATTTTCCATTTGATTTTCTATCATAAAAACTTCTATCATAAAAAAATTATTTATACAATAATTAAAATCGCACAAGTTTAATAAAAAATAAAGAAATAAACAAAACATACTCTTAAATTTTCGTTTTTCTTGTTCATCAAACCCTGTACGATTGGCAGAAATCTTTCACGACCTTTGAATTCGCCATTCATAGTGACTGCATCTAAAACCTTTTTGTGACTATCGATGGATATGAGGCACACCGCGCCTAGTAACTTTACAGCTTCGGACATTACAGATGGTTTCGTCGGCTCCAATGACCTGGCCACTATGGTAAGAGCCTCGTGATGGGCCAACATCTCCTTTATACCAACGGTGTTATTCATAATAGCCTTTAAACAGCGAATACATTCGTATTGTATTCGCTCATAACGATTGTCACTAAGGAAAAACAAATTTTTCATTAATTAATGAAGAATAACATGAATTTCGAATTTTAATAAATTCATAAGCAGCACAGGTCTTGTAATAAATTCTGCTAGAAGCATCATGCAAAACTGAAGTAATAATAAAGTGAAAATTAAGAATATTTTGCTAATTGAACAGCGTAAATAAAGTAATTCTCAAACTAAACTCTCTGCAGTATACGAAAATCTTACAAAATTAAACTGTTTATAATATTACTAGTAAAACTTCGTTCGTATACAATATAAGCAGTTAAGAAATTAACGTGATAAATATCATTAAAAAAACGACATTCAAGCGAATAATACTTTTACATGAATTACCTATCGTAATATATGAAGGCACTGGAATAGAATAATACCAATGTTAGAATAAGTTCTGCATTCGAATTGCTATGGGACACTTTCGAACACGTGGGACTCACTTACTTTCGATAACATTCATTGAGAGTAGCCAGAACCTGCTTGAGACCCTTGGTGCCAAATTCCTGTACCCAGCTGAGTGGATTGTTAGTAAGCGCAATCCTGAGAGACTCAATGCAGTTGTAGATCTTATTGACGCTCAAATCAGGCTGCGCCAAATACTGTATGTAGTCCGCCGGTTTGTCGAATTTTGATCGATTCTCTTGTATGCTACCCTTGTAATGCAAAACCAGCATCTCCTTCTTCTTCGATTCCGATTGCTGGCGCAATGGTTCCTTCTTTTCTTCTGTTAGATTCATATTAGCCTAAACATAAAGATAGTGATGATAAAACATCTACTATTTATTAGATATCATTCCATACACAATATCTCATTACTTAATAATTACTGAATACTGTGTGTTCTATCGATACGAAACACATAAAAATATTAACAATTCAAATTCTCCCTTAAATAATATTCTATAATTTTAATGAATATATAAATTTAATATCAAATAAACAAGAGCTAATCGAGTCAAGTATCTCTTGCTAATAATGCAGTTAAATACAATAATACGGTCCATATCATTAATGATAAAACTATACGTTTCAAATTATACGTTTTCAACTTTTAATATAGTCATCCTCGGTGACATAAAATAAATTATAAAGTTATCAAAGAAAACGAAACAAATTTTATAGCAATATGTTTTGTCATCTTTGTAATAACTTTATAGTTTTCTTAACATGTAGTTTTCTTAACATGTACAGTTATATACATTTGTTTAACTTTACAATACTTTGTAATTTTTTAAACGTAAATAATGGTTTTGAAATAATATATAATAATATTTCTTAAGTTGATCTGTGCTTAAAGACGAATCGATCGCTTGTAATTGTACATGATCGGATTGGATATTTGAATTCGCGAAGTATAATGAAGAATATCTTGTGGCATTCTATTTTATAGCAAATAACAATATGTTTTGTGATTTTGATAATTTTGTAATTTATTTTATGTAACACTGAAGATGATCTTTGTTACATCCCGATAAAATCCTCTCTTTCCTTATTATAAATATATGATTTATATCTTATCTTCATCTTATCTCTAGTTTAGTATTTCATCTTGGTTTTGATATTTTGTCCCTATTTTATCTTTATTTCGAAACCTTATCATACTTTTTATATATTGTAAAATTCTTTTCCCTTTTATAGGAGAGCACATTTAATTCCTTTATTTAAATATTCAAACAGATAGCTCACGTTTGTATAATATATCCTTATGCGTCACATGGATAAAGAATATCTATTCTACAATCTTTCCTTTTCTTTTGAAGGCCCTTTTTCTGAAGTAATAATTAAATAATAGCATATATGCTTAATAATTAAGTAGTATTATATATTAGGTGTACAAATAAGTTTCCGTCGTTTTTAATAAAAAATTAAGCATTTATTGTGAAAGAACGATACATAATGTTTTATTGATGTAAGTCAAAATGTAAGTGCAAGTTCTTTTTGCGTTTGGCACGAATCTTCATTCAATAATGCTTCCAATTCCGCGTCTTCGTACACTTTCGACCTTCCGCTACGTTCTTTGTCTTCGACGTCAAATTCACCGTTCTTAAATTTTTGAAACCATTCACGACAACTTCTCTCACTTAAGGCAGCCTCACCATATGCTTCTGCAAGCAATCGATGAGTCTCAGCTGTAGATTTTTTCAAATTAAAGAAGTAAATCAAAAGTTCCCGCAAATGACGCTTATTCGGCTCAAAACTCGGCATTTTCGCACAAAAAAAAAATATATGATGCTGATACAAAATCGCTAGTATTTCAAGGTTATGTTGTTGACAGATGTCCAACCTTACGATATAATGTTTTATAAGACAATTTTAACCATAGCTTGCTAGTGGC